GCTAAAGTGAACCTAAGCGATATTTCCATGCTGATATACAGGAAAATGTGCAGGTATCACTCAGTTCATTGGAGTGCCTGGCTGCAGAGTCAGGGCTGGGAAATGAGATCTCCACTGTGCTTCCCAGTAGAGGAGCCAGCCAAAATCACACAGAATATGTGTGGTTGGTGGAGCCATGTGCCCTGCTTCTTGCAGGGCCTTGGGCAAAGCCCACCATCCCAGAGTAACCCCAGAAGAATGGAATTGTAAACCAATTCCGAGTACCTTACATCTAGAAAATTCTCGGAGAATCATCATTCGTTGGAACTGACTTGACTGTGCATCATGATTATTATGTTGTCCAAGAAAAGGACTGCAACTTACTATTTTAAAAGGCACACCCAGTTAAATTACAACAAAAGGAGTACTGTTTCATAAAGAGTGCATTTAAACCACAGAATACACCACCAAAAGATGTGAACTGACAGCCACTGCCTTAGATGACTTTAAATAAAAAGTTATACAAGGGCATGAAAAATAAGCTTTTAATAGGACTATTACAGTGTAAACTATATACTGCTACTCAGAAGTACCACCAATTTCAGTGACAATAACTCCCAGGTAAGTACAGTAAATGCAACCACAGCCATCATACATAAACAAAATGTCCATTTTGAGAAGTCATCTCCCTCTGAGCAGGGCTTGGAAGTTACTGTTTTTTCACAGGGATCTCCCAGAATCCCACTGCTAGTGGCCATGAAGGCCGAGGGATTTTGAGTGCTATAATGCAAAACAGCAACTTTCCAATTGCTGTCTCTGAATGCCACATAACAGGGATACCTGATGGGAAAGAGGGATTGCCCTCCTATCCTGTGTATAAACTTGCCAGCAGGCCACTTATATAGCAGATTTTTTTTGTCTGATCCAAAAAACACTTTTCAGTTTCATAGTACTTCCAAGAAAGCTTAATGGAATATTCTACAAGAAGATTTTTCCCCTGAGAATGAACACAGCACAACCTTTCTCCTCACTCCCAACACACACACACTTGTCAGACTTCAAATCTGCAGTGAAAATATTTGACTTGCTTGACAAACTATGGTTGAACAAAAGTTAGAGAAAAATGAAAGATTTTAAAAAGAAATAATGATTCATTGGAAAATAAACAGCATGAACAATATGGTGCAAAGTGATGCTTTGTATTGCATTGCAAATTATGAAGGGTATTCTCTAGTATGAGATCCTGATTTCGTAAATACGTATAAAGCAGGCCCAGTATTCTAATATACTGTAGTTTGCACAGGATTCAATGAGCAGCCTCCGTGGATTTTTTTGACTTGTCCCATACCCAAAGCTTGCAAAAGTGCATTAACTGGAGTACAGGTTCTAGAATTCCCCAGCCAGTATGGCCACTAACGACGTTCTGTAAAGAATTCTGGTTGTTGCAATCCCAAGAGTTAACTTTCCAAATAGAATACCTAGTATTTTAAATGCAGGAGTACGTTAGCAGGCTGAGTGACAGACTAGTATTCAGAAGACCTGGGTTCAAGTTCTTGTTAGACCATGGAAGCTTACTGGGGGAGGTAGCACTGGTAAAACTGCTATTTAAATATCCACTTCCCTTGAAAACCATATTAGAATAGCTGAAATTCAGATGCAACCTGATGGCATATAACACACATGCATATACAGCAAACCAGTCTTACTTCTGACTAATCATTTTTGGGTTCCATTTGAACTGCCAGAACCTATAATTTACTACTTCATCTGAGAAAACAAGCATCTGTTAAGAGGCCTACCATAGAACAGGTGGATGGTGCACTTCAACCTGAACACTTATTAGAAAACCTTTAGAAGTTTCATGGTTACTAGAAAACCTCAAAAAGATTCTTCACCTCCCACCCAGCTTTCTTGTGGCCCAAAACGCTTGCACATAATTGGATGCCTTTTTTCATGTTTTTAACTAGCCTAATAAGAGCATGATCCTAACAGGGAGTTTGCATTTTGGCCTTTGCTTATTGGTCAACCCTGCTCTCGCTGCATTCTTCAGAAGTTTGTTGTGTATATTTATTTTACTGTATTTATGTTCTATGATTATTATTTTTCCATCAGAAAACTCCAGGCCACATGCATAAGCTTTCCCAGATAACATCCTACCAAAGCAAAGATCAAATGAGCCTCACAGTCAGTTTAAGCAAGTTGCTACATCAGATCAAGCCCCTAAGATCAAGCCCCAGCACTAAGATGCAATCTAACACTATGATTTAAATGAAGACCCTATGCTGGGATTTGTCTCCTCAGCAACATGAACAATTTTTAAAATGCCAGAAACCCACGATTATGATCTTCCTAAGCTACTCCACTTAATACCAAGAGAAACCTCTATAAAGGCCCAAATACTTAGCTATGGAGAGAAGCTTCTGCCCAACAGAGTTGCTTTTTGAGCATGTGAATAGTGCAATGGAAAGCATGCTATATATAGGACAAATACTCTAGAGAAATTGACACACCCCGCTACATCAAGTGAATGTGATTTTAGTACCGTCTGTTCCCTAAAAAAACAAGAACTGAGATTGAGATAGAACAGGAAACTGGAAAACTAAGTTTACTAGACATTTTTAGTAATCTGTACTTGCAATTCACATCCAGTTGTCTCACTTATACACACCTGACTTGAATCAGTTCCCTATGCAATCTTCAGTCTGCTAATTTAACTCTCCTGCTCTCGCCCCTTCTAGACATAAGTGCTCAGGATCTCTCTCTCTTTCTCCACGTGCACTGAGAGAAATGTCATCTGGAGCTAGAAAATATCACTGGTCTCTTTTTTAACATTTCCAAGTTTGTCTTAAAGTAAAGTCCTGAGTTAAGCTAAATTTCCCTTTCAAACATTACAACCATAGTGGGGAACTAAATGGATATAAAACATGTATTTCCCTATTATTCTGAATTCAAATCTGGCATTTAGTTGCACCACTTATTTAGACTGTTGCAGCCACAACACCTCTCACTTCCAAAATACTAAAATGTTGTCCGTTCTTAGTAAGACAAGATACAACTTCCACTGAAGGGCCTGGTTTCTTAATATTTCTCATGTGCACACAAGCGGTTTGGAACATCCCACAAGACATGCTAATTTACAAAGAGATGGCACACACGCACACACAAACACATGTTTTATGGAGAGTTCACACTTTGAATCACACTAGTCTATGCAGTAATTGGTCTTGAGTCTTTCCTCCAGTTACTCTTCAGCCTGTTTCTTTGCCAGCCAGCCAGCAAGAAGACAGTTATTACTCAGACAGAAACTGTGAAATACATGTGAAAAGCAAAAGTGCTTTAAAAAAACCCAGTATCAACAAAAGCCATTATACATCTATTCCACCTTTTCCTCTTTAATGGATTTTTTCCCCCAGGAACATGTGGGGAGGGGGGGAGAAATCTGTGCTGTAAGATGATGGTCCCTGAACCACCATAAAATTCAGTAGATAAGGCTGGACAAGTGCACAGCAAAAGCTGCACTTGGAAGCACGTGAGGAAAAACATCCTGTGCATCCCAAATGATCAATGACATAGTGCACAACTTCCATCCTCATAAACAGAGCTTGGAAAGGTTCCTTCCTTTACTACAGGGCCCAGAATCCCCAAACTAACCCGGGCAATTGGGTTTTTCTTACTGGAGGATTCTAGGTTGTTGTTGTTAAGTCGTGTCCGACTCTTCCTGACCCCATGGACCAGAGCATGGCAGGCCCTCCTGTCTTCCACTGCCTCCTAGGGTTGAGTCTAGGTGCCCTGGTCCAAATAATAAGTTTGCCTACATCTGCTCATTACAGAGATTTCTCTATCCAGTGGTGACACAAATTACTTTAAGGCTTACTCAAACACCCCCAACCCCCACGCTTAGTGAATTCACGCATCTAAGAAGGAGAAGGTGTTCACAAACCGGACAAACCAGGATTTGTGGGAAGGGTCCCTAACGCTAAGCCAAGTTATGTATAATCCAAGCAACCCTCAACGGTTGCCACAGGATATGCGAGTGCCTACGGACAGCCCGTCTACGTCAAAGCAAAGGCAACAGCTGGCTCTATTAAATAGGTGAAGGAGTCAAGTAGACGGAAAAAGTCCAGGGAGTCTCCCCGAGGACACGGCTAGCACGGGCGCTCAGCGGCTTCCCCAGCGACACTCGCGGAAGGAAAGCATCCTGTCAAGGGCCGCGGGCGTGGACAGAAGAGAGGAAGGGCTCTGCTCTCGCTCTCTCACCCCCCCCCCCACACTTCCCTCCCTCCAACTCCGGCTTCCTGCGGAGAGGGGACCGGGCAGGGCCCGGCCGAGAGGCTCGGCTGCGCCGGGACAGGCAAACTCGGCGCGCGCTCGGAGGTGGCCCGCTCACACCTCCGTCCACAGGAGGGAGGGAGGGAGGGAGGGGTGGCGCCGCGGGACGGCCCAAAGGGAATCCCCATTCTGACGCGCACCGAGGCGTCGCCGCCGGCGACAATCCCCACGGCTGGTCTTGCAGGCACGGGCTCGACCGGTAGAGCAGCGAGCCGGCATCGGAGGGCGGGCGAGGGGGGGGGGATGAGGATGAGGCGCGCCCCAGGGGCACATCTCCCCATCCAGCTTTCCCCGCTCGGCGGAAGGGAGACACCCGAAGGGCGCTAGGACCGAGAACAACCCACCCAAACCGAAGGGCCGCCTCTCGCTTCCGAGACACCAAGGAAGTCGGCTGGCGCGGTCCCGATCGGCAAACCCTCCGGCGGGGATGCCGAGCGCAGCAAGCCTGCCGCCGCCGCCGCCGCCACCCGTGCCAAGAATCCCTCGAAAGCCCCGCGGCTGGGCAGCCTCTGCGTCCGCAGGGGGCAATCAGGGCCCAATGGGGGGGGGCAGTTTCAGCAACGCTGCCCCAAAAGCCACAGACTGTCGCACATACACACACACACACACACACCCCTACACACACAAAAAAGGTGCATGCGAAATAATAATAAGCCCCCCACCCGCAAACCCTGCAGCCGGACTATACTCACATCATCGAACAAGGATCCAACGTTGGCCGTCACTAACAAGATCCCGGTGTTGGCGGCGGCCCCTTTCATCGCCATGATATTGGCCAAAAATAATTCTTGGGTGTATGTGTGCGTAGATATAGAGATATTTAAAAGAGACACTGCGACGCGATTCCAAGGAACCAGACCCCAAAAATAAAATTTAAAAATGCCCTGCAAAAAATATCGAGGGATCCCACGGAATGGCTTAGGAGCCAGCACGCGGAGAGGAGCGCAATCAAAGAGTCCACGGGAAGTTCCAAGCAGTGCGGGGAGTTCTTGGGTTCTGGTGAGGTCTGGGGGGGGGGTCTTCCTCCCAGCCCCGGCGCGCCCGCTTGCCTCCTCCTCCTCCTGCTGCTGCTGCTGCTGCTCGTCGTCCTCCTCCTCCTCTTCTTCTTCTTCTCTACCTCCTGGTCACACACCGACGGTTTGCGGTGCCCCAGGGGAGGGAGAACCTCGGAATCCTCCCGCCGGGGCCGGGGACGCAGGCATCAGGGCTGAGCTCCCCGCCTCATGTTTGCCCGGGGTGGTGGTGGTGGTGGAGGAGAGCGGGAGAGCGGGCGGGCAGAGGGAGCTCGGACGCCTTTCTTTTCAGCCTCGCTCGCTTTGCAGCCTTCGCCTCCGGAAAGGAGAAGGCGAGACTTTGCTCTCAGATTTCCCCCTTCGCAGCCATTAGGCTCCTGCCCGAGAAGTTCCTCTTGCTGGCGGCGGTGGTTTTGCTGCTGGCGGTGCTGGCGGTTCGATCCTCGGGCATGGCAAAGCGAGGGGAGAAGACACCGGGAACTCTCTCTGCCGCGGGGAAGGAAGGCAAAAAGAAAGGAAAGCGAGGGGGAGGGCCCGGCTTTCAGCGTCCCGACTTCCAAACGCGAGCAGCAAGGCACGCCGAGCAGCAGCAAGGAAACCCTCTCCGCCCGCTCGCTCGCTCTCCCTCCCAGCGTTCGCCTGCAATAACAGAAAAGGGGGGCAAGCCACAGCGACGACTAGATCGCTGCACTCCCCTGACGTCACGGGTCTGACACGGCTCGTCTTAAAAGGGCAATGCCGCCAGGGCTCTCCGCGAGCCCCGCGCGCGGCACAGCGAGCCCTGGCAAGACTTGGCTCGAGTGACCGAGGTCAGCGGAACAGTGAACCCACTCCGAGTTTTGAGCTTTCAAATGGGTTGGACCTACTTGGGGAAAGGCGAGGCGAGGCGGGAAGCCGGAGCGGAGTCTTGGCGGCGGGTTGCGGCGCTGAAAAAATTTCCGCCCAGGAGTTGGTCGCTTGGGGCTCCGCGGCTGTCCTCTGTGGCGCCCCGAGGCACAACGAGTTACGCAACGAAGAGGATGTGAAACTGGGGGTCTTCCAGCGACGTGCATTAAGAAACCTGCCGGCAATTGCTGTCGATACTGACCATTAACTATGCGAGCCAGCGGGGGGGGGAGACATGGGGGGGTCTGGGACTCGGAAGACTTGGGTTCAGATTCTTGCTCGGCTGTGGTGGCTGGCACTGGTAAAACCGCTCCTTGAGTATCTCACATACTTTGCAAACCCTATTAGGGTGGTTGTAAATCAGAGGCAACTTGGCGGCACATATCACCCATTAACTATAGAATAGCCACAGAACATGCTGCCCCAGTAATTATTCTCCTTCAAAGGCAATATTTGTTGAGTTTTGAATTCTTAATAAAATTTCTCTAATTGGCGGCACATATCACCCATTAACTATAGCCATAGAACATGCTACCCCAGTAATTATTCTCCTTCAAAAGCAATATTTGTTGAGTTTTGAATTTTTAATTAAATTTCTCTAACTGTGCATCCGAAGTGCAGGGATTCACACAACAAAACAGGTTGAAGTCCCCAGAGTAGATCACCCCTTTCTTTTCTCATCAACTGGCACCTACAACCTCAACAATTCATTCTGAGACATTAGTAGGAAAAAGTATTTTAAAAAAATCATTGCTTTCTTTTCTCATCAACTGGCACCTACAATCTCAACAATTCATTAGTAGGAAAAAGTATTTTAAAAAATCATTACTCACAACTGAACAGGTCAAGCAGCAAACTGACAAACGTTACTGCTTTCAGCAAATAGGCTTCAACAGACCCATTGCTTCCAAGAGACAACAGTGAGGGGAAAAGAGCTCAGAGCAGAGAGGCCCACATTCTGAATTCAGAGGCAGGAGGGAAGAATTGGTCAGTGCTGGCTAGATTAACAGTCACCCCTGTCCAGAAAGGTCCCTCGCCTACTAAAGACAGAATGGGAGTTTGGGGAACTTCCAATAGGCAAAATATCCCCTGAAGCTCTAACTAGCAACTTCAGCACCAGGAGCTTTGTTGGCTTGTTGGTTAAGCTTCGATGTGGGGAAGGGAATAGGGAAGAAGGGCCCTTGGGTCTCTGAGTGCCCAATGGCTATGTACTAGTTTGGTGCCCATCCTGCCAAGCCTGTGTTTTCTTTTCCCTGGGGAAGAGTGGTTGCAGGCATTATGCACTCAGGTCAGAGTAGGTTTGCACCCTTCTGCTAGCAAATACCAACAGATAGATTTCAACTCTTCCAGCACCAAATTCTGCATTATCTTTTTATGTTTCAGTGTTCTAGGTCAAAACATCAGTCACCCTGCCCTAATTGATGTCACCCCCATAAATAATCACTGAGAATACTGCCTAAAATTATAGTTTGCTGGGTGTTTACTCAGAAGTAAGATCATAGAGTTCGGGTAGATGTGCATAGGATTTACTCTCAGGTAGGTGCACGTAGGACTGTAGCCATTGGCTTCCATGAGCTATACAACTGATGTCTAGAAACTGTCTTATATGTTTGCTTTTAAAGGTCACATTATTTCCCTGTTAGTATGACATCCAGTAAACTATCCAGGACAGGACATGGTTTCCATGTTATAAACCACCCAGAGTAATGTGTACACTAATAGGTATATAAATCAAATCAATCAATAAATCAGTATTCTTCTTGCCTCTACATAAACAGAAGACATCAGTTCAGGAATGTTCCAAATATCCAGGACTTAATTAACAGAATAGCACTGTTTGGAATATGCACACAGAAGACTTTTAAAACAAAGCAGGTGTCCCTAGCAGCTGGTGCTCATTGTCATTGGTAAAGCAGAAGGCAGAACCGTGGATGGCAGGTGAATCAGAGTGGCAGGCAAAACGGGCAAAAGTGGGTATCTATAAAAACCTGTGGGCAATAGGCATTCACTCATCTTCACCCCATCCATTCACCCCATAACCCAACTAAGGAGCAGAAAAATACACCATACAGTCAACTCTTGACTTCCAAACTCCCTAGATATGAACTTTTCGATTTACGAACGGCTATGTTGGCAAAAATTGGCATCGACTTGCAAACGGAGCTCGACCTACATCAATGCCATGCATTTCAATGGTACTTCGACTTACGAACTTTTTGACATCGTTCCAATACGGATTAACTTTATTAGTTACATACGAACGTTGTTCCAATACGGATTAACTTCGTAAATCGAGGTACCACTGTACTCCCAAACTAGTTTTCCTACCTGTGGCTGCTTCCCTCTGTGCCTGGTTTCAAAGCTGGACCGTTGCACAGTCACTCATATTCATTTTCTCATTCCCTCCCTGACCAAACTTAAACAAATCGTGATGAGGCAGGCAGTAAAAGCGGGGCTGGGGGTGAAACAAAATTGTGGCCTTGCCTCACTCATATTCATTTTCTCATTCCCTCCCCAGCCCAAGCTTACACAAAGCGTGATAAGGCAGGGAGTAAAAGCGGGGCTGGAGGTGAAACAAAATTGTGGCCTTGCTACTCTGCAGGGCTGTAACTAAGGCAAGATAACTGAGGCTTTGTCCTAGAAGGCACCACAATCTAAAGGACACCAAAAAATGATGAGTGAAGCTGCTGCTGATTTTTAGGAAAATAAACCTAAACAGTCTTGGCCCCCTTCATCTCCCTTTTTGGAAAAAATAAACTTCCTTTTTCTTTTGGGTTGATGTTATATTCTTTGCCACCTTTTTGTCTGGGGTGGGTTCATGCTTGTGCCTCAGAGCAGAGGAGATGAGAGACAGTGCTGCCCCAGGTGCCAGAATTGCTAGTTATGGCTCTGGGACCTGTTTCAGGTAAGAAGTCAAGCAACACTGGGCTGCCTGGAGATTAGCTCCTCATTTGTCCTAACGGGCACGTTATTCACTACAGAATGCCAGCAGAAGAATAAATTTCAAGCAGCCCACTCCTAAACAATTGCACTACAATCCTATGCAGGTTTACTTTGAAATCAGTCCCTGTGTGCCTTTTTTAAAAAAGAAACCTTGTTTATGACTGTCGACTTCATCAGAAATACATTTTATTGACATTGAAGCCCAAATCAAGGGCAAGGTTCACCAGACAACAGATTAAGTGCTCAGATATTATGCACAGGTAGGCCTCTGTCTGACTAATAAGAAAGTCTATTCATGTGAAGCACAGACAATACATATTCACCTCCTGATATATTAGGTGCTCCTTTGCAGACATCTTTTCCACGCTAAACAAGTGGATGTTGTGGGGCTGCCATCTAGGGTACCTTTCTTCCTATCATTCACATGGAGCCCCACATGCATATATCTCTGGTATAGGTCTGGGATTTCAATAAAATTCCCACACTTGCAACATGAATCTAAAGGCTGAGGTAATTTCAGTGCATTTATCCCGACTAAATATACACTGTCTTTGAAGGAGAACACTAATGCAGATATATAGATTATGTCATGTATTCAAGATACAGTATTTTGTTTCACAGAGGTTCCAGAGTCTCACATAAGATTTATAGGTCAAGTTAATCTTCAACATTTAATAGTCTCATAAGTCTCCTGATTGAACTCTGTCACTTACTCAGCTCCAATGTCCTTCTGTAAACCTTTTGCCATAACTCCACCCCACTCTGTTGAACTCCCAGAGTATTTCCTTACAAGATGTTAACCATCCCTTAAAGGAGTTTCACCACAGTGTTCGTAGGTTTCAGACTTCTAGGGCTGGACCTATCATTAGACAGGCTGAGGCAAATACCTCCAACAACAGATGCTAAGGGAGTTGTGGTGGCAGCTTGACAGCTGTTCTCAATGAATTCATCAACTGTTTCCTTCTGTCAAAGAACAGAGCTGAGTATGTGGCGTAAACCTCTCCAGAGGCCTTGATGCGGCATGCTGCTTCCAGTGTATTGGTAGATCTATCCCATGGCCACCCTCTTGTATATACGTGGGATATGGACAATACATGGAAGGGGGAGGAAGCACCACCTTGGCCTCAGCTTCAAGTAGCAAAATGTCTTTGGCCCACTCTGCAAACAAACAAAAAGCCACAGCCAAGTATATCAGAAAAGATATGTGTGTTTTAATTTGTGTTTTATTACCTACATAAGAAATGGAAGTGTCCTATGGCCCCATTTCGTTGATTTATTTATCAAAAGCTGGGGTTCACTAGCTATGCGAAATAATGACAGCAATGGAGCTGAGTAATTACCAGAGATCCTAATGCAAAATTTTAAATCTGGTGAAAAGGAAAACTGCACAAAATCCTGATCTAAAGGCAATCAATTAATACTCATATTAAAGAGGAAAGGCTCACAGAAAGTATAACTAATACGATATCAGCCATAGTGTTTGGGGGGGGGGTTAATTTCATTTTTACCAGTTGTAAAATTATTGGAAATAAAGGCCTCTCCTTGTTAATTTATTACAAATCACCCTGAGATTGCCCATGATATCCTGATTAAGCATCTGTGTACTCCTGGTCCGGACCAATAATCCAAGTAAACATCCAAACTGGGGTAATCAGGTAACCTTCTGCATCCCTGAGCCATACATTGGGATCATCTCCTAATCTGCATCTGAGTTAACTACACGTCAGAAATTCTGCCACAATAGATCCTAACTGTGCCAAAAGTGGTCCAAAACATGAGATAAATCACTATCTGTCATAAGCTTGT